AAATCAGCATGAAACTGACAAAGAGACAGATCTGAGGATCAGTGGAATGGAGGAGATGATGCAGAAACAACTTAAAAAGAATCTTTGATAAACTGCCCAAACATGTTCAGTGGAAGAAAGATAGCCTCTATAGTGACTGGTGCTGGAAGTACTGTCTTTCCACTTGCCAAAGGTTATTATTAGATTCCTGTCTATCTACATGCAGTAAACTACAGTCAAAATGGAACAAAAATTTAAATATTAAGACAGAAAACATATTTTGGGGAGGAAAATGTAAGTACAAATCTTATAGACATCCTGGTAGGTACACAGTTCAGAAACAAAACACAAATCGCACGGAAAATACTACTAAAAATTAATTAGCTGGATTCCCATGTTTTTGAAAAATTGCTGCACTTCAAAGAAAATATACAAAAGAGTAAAAAGAAAATCAATAAACTAGAAAACAATTACAGCTGAATGTCCCTCCGACAAAGGCCTTTTCTCTATGACACATAAAGAATTTTTTAAAAATCAGTCATAACGCTCACTCAAATTCAAAGACCCAGTACAAAAATGAGCATCTGAGAGCAAAATATATTTGTCAGATAAAGAAATACAAGTGTCAATTAAATATATGAAAAATTTTCAACATCAATTGTCCTTTAATAAATGCAAATAAAAAAAAAACACTGAGATGCCATCTCTCCCCAGAAAGACAAGCTCACACGAAGAAGTCAACCAATAACAAATATTGGAGGAGCTGTGGAGAAGAAGGAACACTTTGCCACTGTTAGTGTGAGTGTACACTGGTACAGTCACTATGGAAATCAGTGTAGAGATTCTTTAAAAAGTTGAGATTGAGGGGCCGGGGAGATGGCTCAGTGGAATAAGCACTTGTCTGGCAAGCACAAGGGCCTGAGTTCAATCCCTGGTTCCACCAAAAAAAAAAAAAGTTGAGATTGGAGGTCCCATTCAAGACAGCTACTGCCTTCTTGGGTATTCTTCCAGAAGAGCTGAAGACATTATACCACAGCGATATATGTGCACCCATATTAATAGCTCAATTTGTCATAGCTAAATCCTGGATACAACCCTGATGTCCAACAACTGAGGAATATATAAAAAAGATGTGGTCCTTTTACATAATGGCATATTATTCAGTTATAAAACAGGATAAATTTGAGACTTTGTTGGTAAATGAATACAACTAGCGACCATACTCTTAAGTGAAACAAATCACACCCATATCTGGCAAGAACATATTGTCTCTTAATGTGAGAACCTGAAAGATGAAATGGAATCTGAAGGATACAGTAGATACTTGGAAAAGGGAATGAAGTTGTTCAAAAGCAAAGAGTTACTAAGTTGAGGAGAAAGACAGGAGAGGGATTGGGGAAAAAGTTTATGTATGTGAACAGTATGGTTTTGTCAACTGTACTGTGTGTTTCTGCTAGCTATTGAAAGGAGTATATAATGCTTACATTGTTTTGTCTATTTTTTCAATTGTTTGTCCTTTTTATCCTCTTAATTTCTTATACAATTCTTTCTTTTTTCTTCGTTCTTCCAAATTTGCAGGCATATATCTGGTAATATAAATAAATCTTTGGGAGACAACACTATGTATTGCAACAAATACTGTGAAATTCATATTGTGTTATTAGGTAAAATTCTGCTTCATTTTTGATTTTTTTGTTTTAATATTTATTTTGTGTACTCTATTAAAAGGATAGAAAAAATCAAATGAGTAATAATACATTTCAATGGTGGACTGTGACATGACACAGTCACAAAGACTTAGGTTCACTAGGCAAAAAATCAACAGATAAATTACAGAACTAAATTAAACTTGTAAAGAAATGGACTTTGCAGACATTTACAAAGTGTTTCACCTAGCAGTAATACAATACACATTCTTCTGAGCTGCACATGGCAATTTCTCCAAAATAGAAATTCTACTAACACACGGAGGATGCTTAAGTTAATGCAAAGGAATTTAAATTATCCCATGCACACTATGTGACCACAGTGCAATTAAATTGAAATTATTCATGAAAGAACTCAGAGAAACACCATAAACACATGGATATTAAATAAAAATCACCTAAACAACTTCAGGGTCACAAAAAATTAAAGAAATTTAAAAAAAATATTTATAATCAAAAGAAAATAGATACAACTTCTCAAAAACCTGTGGAACGCAATGAAAGCTATCTCAAGAGGAAAATTAGCAGCAGTAAATTTGCACATTAGGAAAATAGTACAAGGGGCCAGGGAGATAGTTCAGTAGAATAAGTGCTTGCCTGGCAAGCATAAGTGCCTGAGTTCAATCCCCGGTTCCGAAAAAAAAAAAAAATCCAAACAAACAAAATTTTGGTACACCTCAGGTTCCCAGAAAATGAAAAGGAAGTCAAGCCCAAAGCCCAAAAATGCAGGAAATTATGAAAATTTGAGCCTAAATTAATGCAGTGGAGATTAAGAAAACATTACAAACAATAAATGCATTCAAAAGTTAGCTCTTTGAAAGAACAGATACAATTGATAAACCCCTAGGCAACCTAATTCAAACAAGGAAAGAAAAAATTCAAATTCATGAAATAAGGAATAAAGAGAATGAAATCACTACAGGCCATAGAGAAATTCAGAGTATCATCAATGCCTGCTTCCAAAATCTTTACTCTCACAGGACAGAAAGCACAGAGGAAATAAACAGTTACTTAGATACATATGAAATGGCAAATCTGCACCAAGAACACATAAAACTCTGAATAAACAAAAAATGTAAAACAAAATTGAAAATATAATAAAAATAACCTACAACCAAAGGAAAGGACAGGTCTTGTTGGGTTCATAGCTGAACACTAAAAGAAATATTGAAAGATTTAATGTCTATTTTTCCTCAAACTTGTAATGAAATTGAAAGCAAAGCAATTGTCCCAAATTCATTCATGGAAGCAAGTATTACTCTGATTCTAAAACCAGAGAAATATCCAACTAAAAACAGAACTGCAGGCCAATCTCTCTAATGAACACAGATGTAAAAATCATCAGTAAAGTCCTAGCAAACACAGTACAGCAAATCGTCAAGAAGATTATACATGACCAAGTGGGATTAATCCAAGGAACTCAGGAATGGTGCAACATACACAAATCCATAAGCATAATACACCACATCAATAGATCAAAGAACAAAAATCATGCAATCATCTCAATAGATGCAGGAAAATCTTTTGACAAAGTCCCAAACTCACTCTTGATTAAAAAAAAAAACTGCAGAAAATCAGAATACATCATTTGAGTTTCAATCTGATAAAAATCATCTATGAGAAACCACCAGCTAAAACCACACTAAAAGGGCAAAAACTAAAAGCCTTCACACAAAAACAGGAACAAGTCAAGAATGTTCACTGTCTCCATTCCTATTCAATATACTTCTGGAAACATTATCCAGAGAAACTAGATAAGATAAAGAAATAAAATGAATAAGGACTGGAAAATAAGTGAAATTTTCATTATTTGCATATGACATGATAATTTTCATAGCGGACATCAAAATATCCATCAATAGTCTTCTAGTTTCAATAACCAAATTCAGTAATGTAGTAAGATATAAAGTCAACACCAAAAAATCAGTAACATTTCTGTACACAAAAAATGAACATCCTTAGAGATATTAGGGAAACTGCACTTTGGAAAATAACATCAGAAAGAAAGAAAGAAAGAAAGAAAGAAAGAAAGAAAGAAAGAAAGAAAGAAAGAAAGAGAGAGAGAGAGAATAACCTAATTAAAATATTTATACTGTGAAAACTGATACTCTAAGAAGAGATGCATTAAGATTTGAGAGAATGGAAAGATACTCCTTGCTCCTGCATAGGAAGAAACAACATTGTGAAAATGGCCATACTCCCAAAAATGTTATACAGACTCAATGCAATGCATTTAAAATACCATTTTTTAAAATATTTTTATTGAGAAACAAATAGCAATGAGACAGTTTCACAACTGATTATTAGTACATTTTCAATAATTAATACATTACATATTGTTCTCTTAGTGGTTATTCATTGTACAAGAAGCAGACCTGATATCCTGTTTCAAACCCTATTAGAACAAACCTTTCTATTCATTGAATTAAGAGAATGGAGCTGTTAATCTATCCTAACTGTTTTGAGTATACAGATTCAAAATGGTCGTTCATTTGTATCCCTGTTTTTAGTTAGTTTTTTCAGAGAAGGGCATTCCATTGTCATTTAATTATTGTAAGTGAGTGAATTCAGCAAAATATCACAATGTAGTACAATAGTCCATGATAGTAGTGGGTTTTCCATGAGACTGTCAATGTCCGAAGTTGTTGAATTGAGCATTTTACAGCTCATCATATGTATAACTCACAAAGCTAGAGAAAAGTTTCCTCAAAGTGAAGTGAAACTAGAATAGACTCAGAATATCAAAAGCAATCCTGGAAATCAAAAGAAAGGCAGAATGTGTCACAGTCCCTATTATGAAATTATAGTATAAGCCTACTGTAATAAAATCAGCGTGATTCTGGCATAGACGTACACAACAATGGAACAGATTAAAAGATTCAGACACAACTACAAACATACTCAGCTGTGTTATCTTTGACAAAGTGGCCAAACATAATCACTACAATAAAGACAGCCTCTTTAATATATGGGGTTGGAAAAAAAAAAGTGGCTTTCTACATGCCAAAGTCTAAAATTATATCCATATCTATCAACATGCACTGAATTACAGCTAAAATGGAACAAAGATTTAAATATTAAAATAGAAACACTAAATTTAGAAGGAAAATGTAGGTAGAAATCTTAAACATATAGGGGTAAATAGAGAGTTCAGGAACAAATGCAAAACTGTATGGAAAATACTTCAAAGAATCAACACCTTGGATCTCATTTTTTGAAAAATTTCTGCACTTCAAAGGAAATACAGAAGAATAAACAAAACCCACACACTGGGACAAATTTACAGCTGTTGTACCTCTGACAAAGGCCATCTATGTGCTCGCTTTGAAAGCACATATACTAAAATTGGAATGATACAGAGAAGATAAGCATGACCCATGAGCAAGAATGACACGAAATTTCATGAGTTGTTCCATCTTTTTAAACAAACTAAACTCAAAAAGAAATTCATAGACTTAAAGTCAAAGGATGCAAAACAATATCAAAGGACCCAGAACCTCAGCAAAAAGCAGGGGTAGCAATCCTATTCTCAGAGAGTCTCAACTTCAAACCAAGACTGATCAAATGAAATAAAGAAGGCCACTACATACTGGTTAGGGGAGAAATTCAAGAGGAATTCAACACTTGAATTCAACACTCATATGTATATATGCACCAAATAGGGGAACACCCAAAGATATAAGACAAGTCTTAATGGACAAGAAAAGTCTAATATTCAATACTACAATCTTAACAGGAGATCTTAACAAAACCCTTATCCAAAAAAGGTAAATCAAGCAGAAAAAATTAGGAAAGAAGAAGCAGAACTGAGCCAGAGCATGGAACAAATGAACTTAGTGGACATATACAGAGTGTTCCACCCAAACACAGCATAATATACATTTTTCTCAACTGCACATGTGTCATTTTCAAAAATAGACCACATACTAGTCCATCGGTCATTCTTAAGTATATGCAAGAAAACAGAAATTATCCTATGTATCTTATCTGATCACAGAGCAATGAAACTGGAAATAAATGAGATAAGAAGAAAAAATCCATAAATGCATGGAAATTAAACAACACTCTACTCAGCAATCAATGTATCATGGATGAAATTAAAAAAGAAATTCAACAATACGTACAGTTCAATGAAAATTTGAGCACAACTTATGCGAATTTATGATATTTGATGAAAGCAGTTCTTAGAGGGAAATTCATAGCTGGGAACTCACACAATAGGAAAACAGAACGGGAACAAATAAATGTCCTAATGATGCACCTCCAACATCTAGAAAAGGAAGAACAAACCAAACCCAGAACCCACAGATGGAAAGAAATCTTAAAGATTAGAGCTGCAATTAATTCAGTTAAAACAAAGAAAAGAGCTCAAAAAATTAACAAATCAAAAAACTGGTTCTTAGAAATAATAAATAAAATTGATAAGCCCCTAGCTAACCTCATCAAAAAGGAAAGAAAAAATTCAAATACAAGCAATAAGGAAAAAAAAGGGTTTAACTACCACAGACCCAGTGGAAGTTCAAAAGATTGTCAATAGCTACTTGGAGAAAGTTTAATCTCACACAATAGAAAAAACAGAAGAAACTGACAGGTTCCTAGAAAGCTACAAATTGCCAAAACTGAATCAAGAAGATATAGCATCTCTCAATAACCCAATGACAGTCAGTGAAATACGGAATGTAATAAAAAGTCTACCAACAAAGAAAAGTCCAGGTTCTCATGGATTCACAGCTGAATTCTACAAGAGATTTATAGAAGATATAATCCCAATAGTCCTCACATTCTTCAATGAAATTGAAAAGGTAACAGTCATCCCAAAATCGTTCCTGGAGGGAAGTATTATACTGATATCAAAACCAGGGAAAGACGCAACTAAAAAGAAAATGACAGGCCAATTCCCTTCACAAACATAGATGCAAAAATCCTCAAAAAAATTCTAGCATATAGAATACAGCAAATCATAAAGAACATTATACACTCCGACTAGGTAGGATTCAGGCCAGGGATGCAAGGATGGTTCAATACTCAAAAATCTATAAGTGTAATACATTATATCAATACAGAGAAATCTAAAAACCACATGACCATCTCAATTGATGCAGAAAAGGCCATTGAAAAAGTGAAACACTCATTCATGTTCAAAGTCCTAAAGAAAATTGGAATAAAATGTCTCTACTTGAATCTGATAAAAGCTGTCTATGACAACCCAATGGCTAACATAATTCTAAATGTGGAAAAACTTAAATGTTTTGCTCTCACATCTGGTACAACACAAGGATGTCCTCTATCCCCCTGCTATTTAATATAGTTCTGGAAACATTAGCTAGAGCTATTAGACAAGAGAGAAAAATAAAATGTATAAGAATAGGTAAGGAAGAAGTTAAATTATCATTATTTGTAGACGACATGATTCTCTTCTGGGAAGACCGAAAAAACTGCACCCAGAAGCTACAAGACTTGATATATCAATTCAGTAGCATAGCAGGATGCAAAGTCAATACCTAAAAGTCATTAGCGTTCCTCTACACAGAAAACAAACACCGATAGGGAAATTAGAGAAGCACTACCTTTTACAATAGCACAGAGCAAAACGAAATACCTAGTAATTCATCTAACTAGAAAAGTTGAAGATCTTTTCAAGGAAAATAACAGTACTCTGAAAAGAGAGAGTGTAGAATATTTCAGAAAATGGAAAGATATTTCCTGATCCTGGAAAGGAAGAACCAACAATGTGAACATGACCATACTCCCAAAATTGCTGTACCTATTTAATGCAATCTGTAATCAAACTACCACCAACATACCTCTCACACCTAGAGAAATAATTCTTAAAATTTGTTTAGAACCAGAAAAAACCTAGAATAACAAAGGCAATCCTGGGCAACAAAGACAGGGCAGGAGGCATTACAATTCCTGACTTGAAATTATGCTACAAAGCTACTGTGATAAAATCAACATGGTACTGGCAACAAAATAGACTTGAGGGACAATGGAATAGATTAGCATTTGCAGAGGCCTCTACTAACACTATCAGCCACCTGATCTTCGAAAAATGGGCCAAACATTCTTAATAGAAGAAAGAGTGCCTCTTTAACAAATGATGCTGGAAAAACTGGCTTTCTAAATGCCAAAAACTAAAACTTGATCCAGGACTATCACCATGCACTAAGCTAAAGTCAAAGCAGATTAAATATCGGACATTAAAACAGAAACTCTAAATTTCCTGAAAGAGAAAGTAGAAGGAACTCCTGAAGATATAAGTGTAGGCAAAGAGTTTATGGACAAAAACAAATTGCATGGGTAATACTTGAAAGAATTTACAATTAAGACCTCCTCCTATCCAGAATTTTTTGCATGTGAAGAGTGTGTTGATTATTGAAACTGTCCTACCAATTTGATTTGAAACTGTCTCATTTCCATTTGTTTCTCAATAAAATTATTGAAAAAAAAAACACTATAAATAATCTTTCATAGGGAATGTTTGTGTAAATAGAACTTTCGGTTGAATTAAAAACTAGAAATAAACTTAAATGTTGACATTATAATACATTTAATAAAAGTCAGTCACTTTAGAAAATACCAACAAAGTAAGAAGACAACACACAAATTTTGAAAAAAAATCTTAACTAATAAGCACTCAGACAAAGGTCTGCTCTCTAGAATTTATAAAGAACTCCACCCATTAGAGCCCAAAAATTTAAAGATGCAATCCAAATATTGGAATCTGAGATGAACACACACTTCTCAGAGGACGAAATTGAAGAAGTGAATAAACATATGAAAAAATACTACCCATCAGTAGCCATTAGTGAAATGCAAATAAAATACACATTGAGATACCATCTCACCCAAGCAAGAATGGATATCATAATGAAATCAAGTAACAATAAATGTTGGAGAGGCTGTGGGGAAAAACAGCCCTTCCTCACTGATGGTGGGATTGTAGACTGACGCAAACATTGTGGAAGTCAGTGTTGTGAATCCTTAAAAAACTGGGGCTGGAAATCCCATTCAAACCAGCTATTTGTCTACTAAGAATTTTCCCAGAGGAACTGAAAAAGTCATATCATAGTAATATATGTGTACCTGTGTTTATAACAGCTCAAATTATGATAGCTGTATCTTGGAAACAAGTAAGATGCCTGTCACCTGAGGAATGGATGAAGAAGGTATGGCATTTTCATACAATGCAGTATTATTCAGCAGTAAAGAATGATAACCTCGAATTCATCATATTTAAGTAGATTCCACCTGAACATACAATAATAAGTGAAACAAACCAAACTCACATGTGTAAATATCATATAGTCTCCCTAGTGTAAGAACTCAAAAAAATAAATACAAATAGTAGGATTCTCACCCTGACTAACTATATATGCGGAAACCTGTTAAGTAAGCAGCTGCACTAAAGATAGCAATGTGTAATCATAGGGTCATGTTTGGAATGCCTGCCATTCTGATCTTCTAATACGTACTAATGTCGTGACATACCAATTATTGCCATACTGTCTCTCAAGTAAATGTTTGTTTAAAAAAAGGGCAATAAATGAAAAAATTATACAGGAAAAAAAAGTCACAGGACAGTCCTTCTATAATGATGCATATGGTTAGATTTCAAAATTTCTGTGTGAAATTATGTAATTGTTTATTCATATTTTTTCAATTTTTTTATCTTTTAATGTTTGCCTTCATATTCTGCAGGGACTTAAAATTTAGCTTATCATTACCTGATGAAAAATAACTGTCCCATTATATGCCTAAAATGTTTGATATTCAGACAGATAGTTAGGTTAACCCCAACTGCATATGTTGTAGGGTAATAATAATTTTCTCTTCTGAAAGGTTAATAACCGAAGTTGTCAGACTGCAAATCAGAGAAAAAGCAGGACTGCAAGGACAGTCAACATTTTGTTTGTTTGTTTGTTTTTGTTTTTGTTGAGAAATATGGGGATAATTATATTTCCCATAATTTTATTGATAAACAAATAGAAATGAGACAGTTTCAAATAAAATTGGCAGGACAGTTTCAATAATTCACACATTGCATACATTCTTCATAGTGGTTAATTGCTGTACAAGATGCGGACATGATATCCTGTTTAGAAACACCATTAGAACAAATCACTCTATTCATTAAGAGAATGTAACTATATATCTATCCTAACCACTTTGAATACACAGATACAAAATGGACATTCATCTGTATACCCTTTTTTTGTTAAGTTCTGTTATTTGAATATTATAGGTGTGTAAACTCAGCAAAATATTCTAACAGTCCAGTAGCCCATAATAGTATTAGATCTTCCGCTTGACTGGCAATGCCAGAAATTGTTGACCTGAGTCCCCTACAGCTCAACATAACAGCATGGCTTTACTTCTTATATTTCGTTTTTATACTTTTCTTCTGGATGGTTAAGACCAA